CACTATGTCACCCAGGCTGGTCTTAAAACTCCTGGGCTCAAGCAATCCTCCTGCCTCAGTCTCCCAAGTAGCTGAGTTTATGAGATTACAGGCACCAACTATAACCAGTCTTATAAATTTTTTTTTTTTTTTTTTTTTTTTTGAGACAGAGTCTCGCTCTGTCACCCAGGCTAGAGTACAGTGGGGCGATCTGGGCTAAATGCGCTAACTGCAACCTCTGCCTGCCATGTTCAAGCAATTCTCCTGCCTCAGCCTCCTAAGTAGCTGGGATTTCAGGCGTGTGCTACTACGCTCGGCTAATTTTTGTATTTTTAGTAGAAATGGGGTTTCAGCGTGTTGGCCCGGTTGGTCTCGAACTCCTGACCTCAAGTGATTCACTCGCCTTGGCCTCCCAAAGTGCTGGGATTATAGGTATGAGCCGTGAGCCACCGTGCCCGGCCCATATAATCTTAAGTAAATTAATTTCCTAGGCATGAGTTTCCTCAAGAATTGAACTAGATTCGTATTTTTCAGACCAAATTATATCTAGGAGTTAAGAAAGAAGGGATGGATGGCGGAGAAAGAATTAAAGAGTAGTAACTACTGAAGCATGGTGACCAAAGTTTGGGTTAGACATCATCAAACAAGATGCTCTTGAAGGATGGTTTCACTTTTCATATGGGTACAATAGAATGCATTATGCATGTCTTATGATATACGTTTACATCTTTACACCAGGTAGAGGTCTTGACTAGTTGACAGTAGGCAAGATACATGCTGTGAAAATTTAGTGCCTTCTAGAGAGCTATACATTCCATTTTATTAATATAAATTAATGATTATAAAGAGATGTCTGAAAAAATAAATACCAAGTTATAATTTTAGACAACATATTTTCAAAGAGGCAGAAACTTTCAAAAATTTCCTAACAACTTACTTGACGTTTTCCTGGTATTATCAAATATCGAAAAGTATGTAATTCACACCAGTTGTAATTTCTGATTTTTACATTAATAATGGATTTATTTAAAAGAATATGCATTTGGAAATAAATACCCTGATGTGACATTTAAACATATGGACAATGACAGAGCCTGTGGCTATGACAGATTCCCCTTCTAAACACTCATGAGAAAGTGCCAAAGAATAACTGGCATGAAAGAAACTGAAAAATGTAAATGTAAAGCAACATTATGAGAAACAATAATTATGCTGATTTCCCCAAGAATTCACACTGCCAACGTAACTTAAATCCACATAATGAACTATCTAATATCAAAGCTGAACAACTGATAGGCATCCATGATTATTTTTTGACAGGTTTGACCAATATTCCTGCTATGGACAGAAAGACCAGTTTTAGGAAGACAAGTTTTACAGAGAATTACTATATTACACAACACATACTTGTAAACATAACATAATTATTTTGTTTTAAAAATATCGTTCTCTTAATCCAGGAAGTAAAAATAAATTCTGAAACAATCTGCTTTGGAACTGCTCTCAAAATCAAGTTCTAAACCACACAGTAACATGTTACTGCTTTATAACTATGGCTCATTTTTGCCAAAAGATCATTACCCAACTAGGTTATTAATGAATTCACTAAACTTAATTCCAAATAAACTTCACTACTTAAAAAATCTACACAAAGAGGAGAAATATTTGTCATCAACACATTTTGCAGACTAAAACCAAAGTACTGAAAACGTTGAGAGTAGTTTCAATGGTTCCTCCAAGTATACAGCAGATGTATGCGTGTACACAGATGCTCAAACCACAAAAGGCCTTACCTGATAAACTGTCAAGTGAAAATATCACAAAGTTGAATATGGGCACTTCATAGACATGATGAAGTGCAAAAACACAACATCCAAAAAATGTTGGACATTCATGACCACGTGGCTGACTGGAAGCCATGGCTCAAGGTCACTGCCCGGCCCCAAGAGAGAATCGTACCACCAATTACTGTCCTGGGAAAAGATCAAAACTCAATGTATGGTATCTACTTAATGTATATCACTTTTGTACCATCATAAAGTCGAAAAAGCATAAATCAAACCGTTGTAACATTGGGGACCATCTGTATACGTATGTATACCCTGGAATCTGCTTTAAAAACCTTTATCATGAGTTAAGACGAACTTATGTTACGTACATTAACTTCAGTTACTTGAGTTTTATATCACCTGGATTTAGCTAAGTTGAAGATTCAAAATGAAGCTAAATAACTAAGGTTAAGTATTGTTTAAAAAACAAGAAATAACGATTTAAAAAATACAAGGCCAGGCATGGCGGCTCACACCTGTAATCCCAGCACTTTGGGAGGCCGAGGCGGGCACGAGGTCAACAGATTGAGACCATCCTGGCCAACATGGTGAAACCCCGTCTCTACTAAAAATACAAAAAAAAAAAAAAAATTAGCTGGGCATGGTGGCACACACCTGTAGTCCCAGCTACTCAGGAGGCTGAGGCAGGAGAATCGCTTGAACCCAGGAGGCGGAGGCTGCAGTGAGCCGAGATCACACCACTGCACTCCATCCTGGTGACAGAGTGAGACTCCATCTCAAAAAAATAAATCAATAAAAATAAATAAATAAATAAAAAGTATATACACTGGCTGGGCCCGGTGGCTCATGCCTGTAGTCCCAGCACTTTAGGAGGCTGAGGTAGGCAGATCACAAGGTCAGGAAATCCGAAACCATCCTGGCCAACACAGTGAAACCCCGTCTCTACTAAAAATACAAAAATTAGCTGGGTGTCGTGGAACCTGCTGTAATCCCAGCTACTCAGGAAGCTGAGGCAGGAGAATCGCTTGAACCAGGAAGTTGGAGGTTGCAGTGAGCCGCGATTGCACCACTGCACTGCAGCCTGGCAACAGAGAGAGAATCCATCTCAAACACACACACACACACACACACACACACACACACACACAATCATGGCAATGCCTTAGAATTCATTCTCTGGACAAGCACAGAAGTTATGGGTCAAACTGTATCCCACAAATGAAATACGTTGAAACCCCTAACTCCCAGTACTTCAGACTGTGACCTTATTTGGAAAGTGTCACTGCAGATGTATTTAGTTAAGATGAGCCCATTCAGGAGTAGGGTGGGCCTAGGTCCTAACCCAATGACTGCTATCCTTGTTAGGGGGAAGAGACACAGAGAAACACAGGGAGAAGTCCATGTGAAGATGGAGGCAAAGACTGCAGTAATCCATCTACAAGCCAAACAGCATGTGAGTCTAGCAGCCACCAGAGCTAGAACAGGAGCCACGCCCCTCCTGGCACCTTGATTTCACATTTTTAAGCCTCTAGAACTGTGACACAATACATGTGTTGTTTCAAGCCACCCAATATTGGTACTTATATTACATCAGCCCTAGGAAACAAATCAACTTATTTATAACAAAAAACTAAAACAAGTTTTGTCTTTTCATAAAAGTGAAGGACCTATTGCACAGCACTACAACGGTCATTAAGTTCTCTTAGCTGGAGCTCAAGACTAATAATAAGCACTATGGGAAATTACAGTGCAGCCATAAGAAAGCTTTAGTATACATTTAAATTACCCAACAGTACACTCATATAATAAAGAAGCCAATCATTTCTGGACTAACAAAAAGGCAGCACTACAGAAGTTTCACAGTGAAAAACCTTAATTTTTCAGTAGTCAAAAACTGAATCGTATCACCAGACTGTCTTAAGAACCTGAAAAAAAAAAAAAAAAGAATTTTTTCCAAACAGTTCATGTAGGAGAAACATCAGTCAAATAAACACTATGGTGTTGCAAAAGTATTCAAAGAATTCATGCAATACAGTTGTCCCTCAGTACCCAGGACCCCTGCAGACACCAAAGTCTGAGGATGCTCAAGTCCCTCATATAAAATGCTATAGTATTTGCATATAGCCTACACACATCCTCCCATATGCTTTAAATCATCTCTAGATTACTTGTAATACCTAATAAATGTAATGTTATGTAGACAGTTGTATACCATTATTTTAAAATTTGTATTATTATTGGCCAGGTGTGGGGCCTCACACCTGTAATCCCAGCACTTTGGGAGGCCAGGGCAGGTGGATCACGAGGTCAGGAGATCGAGACCATCCTGGCTAACACAATGAAATCCCATCTCTACTAAAAATACAAAAAATTAGCCGGGCGTGGTGGCAGGTGCCTGTAGTCCCAGCTACTCCGGAGGCTGAGGTAGGAGAATGGCGTGAACCCAGGAGACAGAGCTGGCAGCCAGCCGAGATCATGCCACTGCCCTCCAGTCTGGGCAACAGAGAGAGACTCCATCTCAAAAACAAAATAAATAAAAATAAATAAATAAATAAAATTTGTATTATTAACCATTTTCCATCTACACATGGTTGAATCTGCAGGTGTGAAAACAAAGCATGTGAAACCTGCAGATATGAGGACTGCCTGTATTTAATTCTCTTCCCCACCCATGCCTCTGTCCCCCACCTTCCTCCCTGCCAACGACAGTTTCTGATCCATGACTTACTAATGAATTATTTAGAGAAGTAATTTTACTACAGTTCTAACAGACATATATTTTGAAAGTTTAATTTGCTCACCTAGAAAAGTAAATACTGTAAAATTCCAGGACCACAAAACAAACCTTTCTAAAAACTCAACTGCTTCTAGAGAAACTCTATCCTTTCCATCTATAAACAATCTGTAATTCCTACAGATCACAATAGAACCATGATTTTCTAGCTTTAGGAGTCAGATTTAAAGACGACCCTATAAATAGTTTTTCTACTTTCTACATCCTCAGCCCTCCCACCCTACCCAACCAGCAGCTCATGGAGTTCAGTTAACAAGTGGTGCCAAGATGTCAAGTCTAGAATCTCGAATGGTTAGGATTACAGAGCTGACCAGGCAGAAACGGAAGGGCTAAGTGTGGGAACATTCATGTATCCAAGAATCCATTCATTCAGGATGGTGTGGGAGTGTGATAGGGAATGATAACATCTGGTTTGGAAAATCCTGAGGTTGAGTGCCAAAGATACAAAAACATATGCCCCAAAACCTACATGTGATGTGAAAAAGCATCTCAATACATATGAGTTTTAAAACACCTGAAAACTGGGCCAGGCACGGTGGCTCATGCCTGTAATCCCAGCACTTTGGGAGGCTGAGGCAGGAGCATCACTTGAGACCCACAGTTGAGGATCAGAATGCGCAACCAGAGCAAGACCCCTGCCTCTACATAAAAACATTTTTAAAAAAATTAGCCAGGTGTGCTGGCATGCACCTGTTGTCCTAGCTACCCAAGAGGCTAAAGTGGGCACTTGACCTCAGGAGGACAAGACTGTGGTGAGCCATGATCACATCAATGCACTCCAGCCTAGGCAACAGAGTGAGACCTTGTCTCTAAAAAGAAAAAGACACCTGAAAACTATTTGTCAGAAGAAAGGATGATCTTCCATATTACATTTAGTATAATGATAAAGAGCAACTAATTCTAAATATTAAAAACAAAAAAATATAAATCTTACTCAACATTTCCAAATGGTAAAAATCTAAGCTAGTAGGGCCTATCAAAAGTCTGTTATAATTTTCTGATACTTTTTTTTTTTTTCAAACAATTAGGATGTTTGGTACAACTAAATGGTATACAATGAGATAAATTATCACAGATGATACTTTGGAAGTCAACAAGTGTTAATATATATTTCAAAATTATTAATTCATTTAAAAATTGCCCTCCCATTTCATATTTATACTCCTTATATGCCAAATCTTTTATCTGTAACCTTTATTTTTATCTTTATTGTCTCTCAGCAACAACAAAAATAAGAACTTCAGTTTTGCCCAAGTTACATCAGTTCAAAAACCCTACAAATCAATTCTAACTGTACATATTAATGATTTTTTAAAGTTTATTTATCATATGAATATAGCTTCCCTGAAGAAAGTGCCCAGGGTCTCTGAATGAACCACTAGTACTTGCCCCCTCCTGCATTCGAAAGCAACTGGACACATGCGACACTCCTGATCAGTGCTCCAGAGTTCCGGGAGCAGCGGTACCCTTGGCCTTCCTGCATTGCATGCCCAGTTCACGAATGCAGGACAGGCGGGGCTCCCACAATGGCTTTGCACACCTTGGGAGGCGCCACTCACCTACCATGTGGATGGCTCCATCTGGAGTCTTGCTGTGTACAGCCTCAACCACATGCAACATAGCATCTGGATAATTAAGATGTTGAGAATGTTAAGGCTGCTAGGAACTTACTGCATGCACAAGGCAAAGCAGAAAGGCAGGGGAACAAAGAGCTAAGGGCTTACCCATATAAGTAAGGCTGGCAATAGGCTACACAGGCTACAATACAGACTTCTCACAAGGCAGTTCAGAAACCAGATCAGAAATGTACAGGGAGAAAGATTTCCAAGTAATTGAGGAAGCATCCTGGCCTTCAGGAACGTAACAATGAAATAGAAGAGACCCAAATTACAGACTAAATCCTGGGATATGGGCCCATCTAGGTTCTTCAGTCCCCTCTCAAGTCAGGGCACACACTACACTCTGCCCAAAATACAGCAAAAGCAAAAGTCTGGCCCATCACAGTTATATCACATCACACAAAGTGAAAACCACATCTCTTAATACGCCTAGGCTCTATGTATAAACTTCTTGAAAATGTTTAAGTTGTTTAAAACCCACAACAGCAATAAGATTATAAACGCTTAATACTATAAAATATGCTTTTAAATTTTAGAAAAGTCCAAGAAATTGATTTTTAAAATCTATTAAGAAGTTTTATATCTTACTTAAGATATGTCTCATCTCTCCAATTAAACTATAAACTCCTTAAGTGAGAACTGTTACATGTGTTGCCCAAAGCACTGACACACAATAACTTTCACTATGTAAATATTAAAAAAAAAAACCAACTTAATCATTATTTTAGAGCATCTTCTTGTTTAATAACGCATAAAGAACAGTGTGAACAAAGAGAATACAATAGTAGGAATTTACCTTTGAAACTATTAGAACTAAAGCCAGCTAACACAACAGGTGGAATTTTTAAAAAGCTTTAATTTTGAAGATTTTCAACTTAGTGAAAATATCTATACATAACCGAAGTTCAACATAGGACTAATGAATCTCACAGAACTAAAAATTAAACATTTTGTCTTATCCTAAGTAGATGTAAAAACTGTACTGATAATGTTTCTAAAACTTCTAATATTTAAATTTCATAAGCAGCTAATCTACCAGATTAGTCAATTTTTGCGATCTTTAGGGGAGGAGGAAAAAGCAGCCAAGGCCTTGGTGGTATGCAGCACTGGCCCCCAGCAGTCTACTGTGAGCAGGGGCCCTGAATAAAGGGTCACGAAAGTGCAATTGTCTGAAAAATGACAGAACACAAAAATGTCTTGGAGGAAATAAGTTTAATTTTTAATTTATCAATGAGAACTTATCCAAAAAATAGTTTGATGTTCTATTTTCCTCAGATAAAAATCAATGTTAAAAATATGTGTTTAATCATCCATTCAAAAGAAAAATCCATATTTTCAACTCTTTTTTAATTGCCAACAAAACAGGAATTTTCAAAGTAAAACTGAGAGCATGGTTTGAAGATTCGACAGTATGATTTTCACCTGGATAAAAGCTGACAGTGAAATTTACTTTTTATTTCATGCCATCCTTACTGTTTTGTGTTTTTAGACAGAGTCTCACTCTGTCACCCATGCTAGAGTGCAATGGCACGATTTCAGCTCACTGCAACCTCGCTTCCTAGGTTAAAGCGATTCCCCTGCCTCAGCCTTCCGAGTAGCTGGGATTACAGGCATGTGCCACCACCACCGGCTAATTTTTGTATTTTAGTAGAGGCGGGGTTTCACCAAGTTGGCCAGGATGGTCTCGAACTCCTGACCTTAAGTGATCCGCCCGCCTTGGCCTCCCAAAGTGCTGGGATTACAGGCGTTAGCCACCGTGCCCAGCCTCAAGTGACATTTCATAAGAAAACTGAGAACCCAACCTGACAGGAGCCCAGCACTCCAGGAGGCCCCAGAGTTGAGACCTGATGCCCACAGGCTGCTTTTCTCCTCTGCCCTCATGAGTGTTACCTTGTCACCAGCCTTCTGCCCGCTTGTCTTCTTCTTACCTTGTCCTTTATACCTTGGTATCTGAGCATGAGAATAAAATGAGATTTTACCACAAAATAGAAATCTTTAAAAATAAATTAACTCATTACCAAACAAAGATGCCTATTGAAAAATGTCTCAGAAGTGCAACATCTAGTGAATATGTTCTGTGAGGCCTGCTTTTTTGGTCCTTTCTTAACTCTATTCCTAAAGTGATCTACCTCATGTTTACTGTTTCCAATAGTTACTAGGTCAAACACAGATACTGTAGCCTCCACCTGCTCAGCTTCTACTGGGTGGAGAATCACCTCTTTCATGCTACATTTTAGCAGCATACTAAATAAGCCTCACTTGAGTTCCTAGGAAACTTCCTTGAAGACTTGTCCTGACCTCATCTGATCTTTCTCAGGAGCACACAAAGCTGGTTCCTAAAGGTTGGGTGGACGCTACTCTTGGAGAGTTTCTAGCATTCCCCATGGGCCCTCAAGGCTGATTAGGTGCCAGTAGGAGGTAGCTAGCAAGAAGAGGGTAGGGAAAGTACTGGATCCCAAATCCAGGTCCTTTAGTACTACAGAAATTGCATTTTACATGTCAAAATAAGGGTTTATCTTTGAACAGACGCAACCCTACACAAGGACTATCTAGGGTGTTTCTGAAGAGGGTTTATGAGGCCAACTGAGAAATGGGGACTCAACTAGAACAACGGGATGGCAGCAGGAGAAGCAGAGACAGCTGTTAGGACAAACGCTGTTCTCTAAAGCAGCCTCAGGACAGTCCCCACTTCTCTGGAAAAACTCACAGCATCATTTCCTGACTGACCTAAAACACTGAGATTCTCATTTTAATTCTTAGATCTTAAAATGTATGTAGAGAGAATAAGAGTACGTAAAACAGACTTTAATATTTTACCCAGAAGACATACCCTATATGTAGAAGGTTAGGATTGCTAATTTGCTTTAAACACAGTAATAATTTGCTAAAAAGAGCTTCCAAATAGTCAAATGCTATAGGTACTGATAAGTATTTTGGAATATTCATTAATTTTAATTTTTCTAAAGCCAGATATTTTCATGAAAAGTAAAGCTTACTTACATAGGCTGTTTTATTTGCAATTAATTTAAAGAAATTTTAAAAACTTACTCATGACCTTATTCTGTCTTTGGGGTTATAGCTTCCTGAGTATTTAGGAAAAAAAAAATTTTTAAAAATGCCTTCCCTACACAAACTAGAAATCTCAGAAGGAGCAACTATGAACAATACAATAGTTGTTCCCTTGGTTAGAAATAAAGTATAAAATTCCTTTAGTTTTCCAAACTTAAATAAAAGGAGCAACAACATCAAAGAACAAGCGAAAAATAACAGCAATCGTTCAGCAATGTTCTGTGCCTAGACATTTAAAAAAGAAAGGAATCTTGTAGTATAATCACTACGTTCTGGAATTTCATCTATTTAAAAAGATGCAACTATATCTGAGAGTTGATCCACCACCATAAACCCACATGGGGGCCTCATCTTTTGGAATGGATTCCACAGCATCACTCTGTTCTTATGGGATGAAAATCAAAGGGAAAGTCAAAGAATACAAACCTGACCTGTCATGGACTGCAGGTTTGTGTAGTCCACAAACTGCTAGCTCCTATGTTGAAATCCTAACCCTCGATGTGATGGTATCAGAAGGTGGAGCCTTTGAGGGGTGAGCAGATCATGAGGGTGAAGCCTTTGTGAATGGGATTAGGGCCTTGACCCCAGAGAGCTCTCTCACCCTCTTTCCACCACATGAGGACACAACGAGAAGGCAGCTCTCTGCAACCTAGAAGAGGGACCTCACCAGACCTAACCACAGTGATGCCGTGATCTTGGACTTCCAGCCTCCAGAACTGTGAGAAAAAATGTGTTGTTTGTAAGCTGCCCAATCTACGGTACTTGGCAGCCTGAACAGACTAAGACAGACCCAAACCTATCCTTTGATAAGACCGCCTGGGACTACCAATTCAAGCTATACTCTTGAGAAAACAAATTTCCTGACAATCATCTTTCTATCCATTCCTACATATCCTGGATCTTAAATTCAAAGTGTACAGCTCATTTTTTTCTTTATGCTTAACCTCTGAAATCAAGTCTTACTTTTAACAACTCATAAACACACAGACAGATGCACACATGCATACACACATAAATGTAACCAAAGTACATACATTTTCTTAGAAATTCTATCAAAACAGCCCATGTATATTAAAAACCATCATGATTTACAATTCTGAATCTCATCACCCATCTAGAAGTCTAAAATATTCATTCAATATTATATCCTGTAATACATATTCCTAGCTTAATATTCTCAAGCTAGGAATTTATAAATGAAAAGTAAGTAAATCCCCTTGTTAATAGGAGAAAAATGTCCAAAGTACCAAATAAATCCAAATATTCTGATTCTGTTACTTACCAGCACATTCCTTTCTATGATACAAATGTCAAACCACCACCAACAAAGCCAAAAAAAAAATTTTTTTAAATGTATACTTAATGGAAAAAAAGCATCTTCAAGAAACTAAAGAGCCCATGTGTTATAAAACAATACAACTTGTAACAAGAAAGACTAGAGAGAGAAGAGCAGAGCCCTCTGGAGTGGAGTCCAGACATGACTTCTGGCTTCTGCAGCTCACTCACCTTACTTGGTGTTGTCTGTGCACTTGTTTTTCCCTCTGGTGACTTTGGTGGAGGATGTACATCAGATAGATCTAGTGCACCCTAAAATATTTTAGTTTAAAATTAAAATACATTTAAAAATAAAACACGAATATACCAACTACACTCCAATAGAATTTTAGCATTTAGAAATACTATACAATGTTGGTATTTTATTTCTTCTTTATTAAAGTAACCATTCTTTTTAGATTTTCCTCTAATTTTACCCCCTCAAAAACCTTCTACATATCCCTAGATTCTAATTACCTGCAAAATGTTTCATTCATTCACTTTGAACAGGATACTGTCTCCACTGAAATCTGTCCCAGGTCTACCATTCCAGCATCTACTTCCTCACTTCCCTTCTCCCTATTCTCCAGACAAATAATATCCTGTAATTCTCTAAGATCTACTTTTTGCCCTCCTTGAATTTGTTTCCCTACTTCATTTTATCTCAAAAAAAAATACTAAACAACAATTTTCATTAAAAATACTTTACCCCTTCAAATAGTAGTACACTCTTCCACTTTTCTACTTCCACACCTGTTCTAGCCCGGCTTCCACAGGAGTCATCTGTGTCTGCTGCCCAGTGCCCTGTCACCACAGGGTTCTGAGCACTGTGGTTAACGCAAAGGAGGAGGTTTTTAAAATGTTTCTTAAATGAAAATCACTTCCTACAATTCATCCACTACCAGCACAAGCTCTATGACACTGTGTACATATTAACTATTGGCTGTTTGTTACAAAAATCCTTTTATGACTGACAGTAACTTTTTAAATAGGAAAATGTGCTGCTCTTCATAACTTCAGTTCTCCCTCTTCAGTCCCACTATTTCTGGTGGTGATACTATCTTCTTCTAGGCTAAAATCCTTAAACTGGCCTTTGAGAGCTTTTCTTTTCTCATATTGCCTTCTATGACCCTGCCCCATGCCAAAATATTAGTTTACCAAGTCTTGTTGATTCTTAAAAGGTCATCTTAATCTATTCATTTCTTTTTCTTTCTTTCTTAATCTTTCTTTTTTTTTTGAAACAGGGTCTCAGTCACCCAGGCTGGAATGCAGTGGTGAATCTCGGCTCACTGCAATCTCCGCCTCCCAGATTCAAGTGGTCCTCCCACCTCAGCCTCTCAAGTAGCTGGGATTACAGGAATGCATCACCACATCCGACTTTTTTTTTTTTTTTTTTTTTGAGACGGAATTTCATTCTTGTTGCCCAGGTTAGAGTGCAATGGTGAGATCTTGGCTCACTGCAACCTCTGACTGCCAGGTTCAAGCGATTCTCTTGCCTCAGCCTCCCGAGTACCATGCCCAGCTAATTTCTTGTTTTATTTATTTATTTATTTATTTATTTATTTATTTATTTATTTATTTTGAGACAGTCTTGCTCTGTGGAGTGCAGTGGCGTGATCTCGGCTCACCACAACCTCCACCTCCCAGGTTCACGCAATTCTCCTGCCTCGTCCTCCCGAGGAGCTGGGACTACAGGTGCACGCCACCATGCCCAGCTAATTTCTGTATTTTTAGTAGAGACAGGGTTTCACTATGTTGGCCAGTCTGATCTCAAATGATCTGCCCGCCTCAGCCTCCCAAAGTGGGATTACAGGTGTGAGCCATCACACCTGGCCAATTTTTTTTGGATATTAGCAGAGATGGAGTTCCACCACGTTGGCCAGGCTGGTCTCGAACTCCTGAACCAGGTGATCCACCCGTCTTGTCCTCCCAAAGCGCTGGGATTACAGGCATGAGCCACCGTGCCTGACATTAATTTTTATATTTTTAATAGAGACAGGGTTTCGCCATGTTGGCCAGGCTGGTCTCAAACTCCCGGCCTCAAGTGATTCGCCTGCGTCAGCCTCCCAAAGTACTGGAATTACAGGTGTGAGCCACCATGCCCAGCCTATATGTCCACTTATTTCTATTCTTACTGCTACCATTCTTGTCTAGATTTGCCTTCTTACGTGTTTCACCTCCTTCTAGTCTGCTAACTTCTCCATATTTTACCAATCCAACCTCTACAAATCTTCCAAATGGGTATTCCTGTTCAAATTTTCAAAGGCTTCCACTGACTGTGAACAGTATGTTAAAAATCACTATGCCGGCTGGGCGTGGTGGCTCACGCCTGTAATCCCAACACTTTGGGAAGCCAAGGCGGGCAGATCACATGGTCAGGAGATTGAGACCATCCTGGCTAACACAGTGAAACCCCGTCTCTACTAAAAATACATAAAAAAAAAATTAGCCAGGTTTGATGGTGGCCGCCTATAGTCCCAGCTACTCAGGAGGCTGAGGCAGGAGAATGTCATGAACCTGGGAGGTGGAGCTGGCAGTGAGACGAGATCGCGCCGCTGCACTCCAGCCTGGGCAACAGAGCGAGACTCCGTCTCAAAAGAGAAAAAAAAAAAGGCATAAGGCTAGAAAGAAAGGTTAAGGCCACATCACACAGAACATTTCATAAGGGCTGAAGAATCTGGGACTCCTGAGTCGGCAGCGCACAGCCACTACAATCGCACAGAAGAAAGGAACAGAGGAAGGGCTGAAGTTTAAAAATAATTCTGCAACAGTGAATGACAGGCTGAAAGCATGAGAACCTTTAGGAAGAAATGATCCTGGACAGACATAAGGACCTACATGGTAGAGGTGCTGAAGGAGATGAAAATGATCCGAGGGGCTCAGAAAACAAGAAAGGGCTTTAATTACCTACGGCTGGGGAGCATCCAATACAATCAAACCAAAGTCACATTAAAGCGGGTGGGGCACAGCAACCTAATTCTGGAGGTGGTTTAAATGCAGTTGTGGTAAAAAATCAGTAATTTAGTTCAGTGAACTTAACCTATAGCTAGTTTTCTATAGCCAAAGTCAAAAGCTAATAAAAGCTCTAATTTTTTATTTCATTATAAATGACAGGTTTTCTTCCAAAGTAATAGAAAACACTAATAAATAATGAAGAGCCAAAACATACATCTTTGAGGTCTCTATTTTAAATATTTTATCTATTTGTTTATATACATACACACAAACTATTAAAATTAAATACCCAGATATTAGGAAGGGAAAACTAGCAAAAAATGGAGATGAGATGCCCAACTTAGTGGTTCAGCAACTTGGGGGAGTAAAACAACTACCTTTTGAGGATACAGAATTCCTATCCTGGGTCTATTTGACAGAATCACAGCTACAAAAAAGTCAAGGCAAACTTCAGGGGAGGCCTCAAATCCACGAGTCAGAATGGAGTACTGAAGAACAGCGATTCTGTGTCCATTTTCACATCACACCCACTACACAGGAATGCTACTGGGTGTCATTTTCAGGTACACATCTTATCCAGCAGAGAAGAGAAAGCCCTCCAGCAATTACTCTTTCTTCCACAGCCTGTTACCAAAGCTACCGGGTGCAAGGTGGAGAGTGAATCCTTCCTGACAGAATAACTGAATCTAGAGCACATGTGAAAGTCGGCTCCTTGGGATGAAACCAAGGAGTCATAGGAATAGAATCAATGAAAACAGAGAAGTGAGCAGGAAGAACTGGAAGAGGGTTATTTGCAGGGAGTAAGGTGGGATTTGTTTTTGTCTTTATGTTTTTACTTTTTTAGAGGTAAAGAGAAGAAAGTAAGTTTTTCCACACAGGATTCGAATGTACTATTGGGTTATCCAGGGAGGTATGTTTTGTGAAGAGCTGGAAATTCTAGTTTGGAGCTCGGATAAAGGACTGAGCTGGACTTAGGCAGACTACACCGAACTTAAACAGTCATCCATACAATAACAAGAAACAGTAATACTAATACAGTCATCCCTCAGTATCCACAGGGGATTGGTTGTAGGACTCCACTGTGGACACCAAAATCCAAGGATGCTCAAGTCCCTTATGTGAAATGACATATTTGCATATAACTTATGTACTTCAAATCATGTCTAAATAACTTATATCTACTACAATGTAAATGCTATAAAAATAGTTTTATACTAGATTTGCATTCTTTTGTTGTATTGTATCCAAACATTTTTCTGTGAGATGGAGTCTCGCTCTGTCGCCAGGCTGCAGTGCAGTGGCACGACCTCGGCTCACTGCAACCTCCACCTCCTGGGTTCAAGCAATTCTGCCTCAGCCTCCCAAGTAGCTGGGACTACAGGCGCACAACATCGTGCCCAGCTAATTTTTCTATTTTTAGTAGAGACGGGGTCTCACCATGTTGGCCAGGATGGTCTCCATCTCTTGACGTCATAATTCGCCTGCCTTGGCCTCCCAAAGTGCTGGGATTACAGGCATGAGCCACCGCGCTCAGCCAATCCAAATATTTTCAATTCGCAGTTAATTGAATCCACTGATGCCTACTATAATGACACACAGAGTCCTCCGTGCCAAGCACTGTGCTCAAAGCTTCACACATCTTGCTTCCTCAGACCCCCTCCAGACCTGTAGGCACGATACTTCTGTGATCTCCGTGTTGCAGATAAGGAACCTGGGCACACGGAGGCTGAGTGACTGCAGGCTCACACAGCTAGAATGTAGCAGAGCTGGGGTTTCACCCAAGTAACCTGGTTCCAGAGTCCATGCTAGTGGTATGTTAAGGAAGAAAGATCAATCTAGACACAAAAATGTGCATAAACACCACTGCAATGAGGTGAGCCAAAGCACAACTACTAAACAGAAAAGAAAATGAAAGGCCAGTTAGAAAGAGAAGAGAGTTCTTCAGGGGCACAGAAGCCAAGTGGGGAGAGCCAACAGAGGTCATCAAGACCTACAGATTGCTGGCCCCAGGAGACTGGGTTCTTTAGTTTGTTTTTGATTGCCTAGTCCCAGCACAGTATCTATCAAATAAGCACACAATAAAAGCTTGCTGAATATTGATAAATGAAGGAATGAAATTATATGCACAAGCTGAAGTGACACCTTGTGCTCTGGGCGAGCCGCCTCACTCCCAGCCAGCCCGGGATCTGGCTATGCTCTCCTGCTCCCACACTTGGCTGGCACTGTTCCAACTTCTCGGAACACCCTTCCCAATCCTCGCCCCACAACTGACATCCTACTCTCACTTTAAAATTGACTTCAATAAAATTTTGGCATGTGACAATTGCTTCCTCCTCTAAACTATTCATAATATGTTTGCAAATAATGTGTTAAATGACAATTCCTCCATAATCTTAAACTGTTATTTAAATGTTAACTTCCTTATCTGAGCACATTTTATGTTAAATAGCTTTGCGCTCTTCAGAGACATAGAAGTTTCTTATATTTTATCTTATGGTACCCACGAAGTCTATTTACCATGCCTTATATATATTAGTACTCAGGCAAGCTTTATCAATTTTCAAAAATTCTAATAGAAAGTATCCTCTGAGATTCACCAAAGAAAATAAGTAGGAAACCTATATAGCCCTCCACATTCTTACCTATAAATTGGACTAAAAGATCACATTTAATCAAATATCTGTAACAGTTACAGATGTTACCTATATCTATAAAACAGAGTATCTTTATGTAAAATTAATGTATGAAAATAAAAATTAGATCATTAATCTCATTAGCACGATTTCTAAAAAAAAGGTTGAGTATGAAAAGTACTACTAATCAAAAAAGTATAAGTTTGAACTGTTTCTAAACAGTTTAAAGCAAAATCAACAGCTTAGTTTTAAGCTTAAAGAGGCCTTTAAGTCCAAAAATTAACTATCCTATAAATCAGCCCTTTTATATTTAACTAAGATGTTTTAATAAAAATAACAGCAAGTTGAGTGCTTCTGTTGGCTTATGCAGAGAAGTCTCAGAACACTGAGGTAGGGCCTGGTAGAGCCCACTTCATACACAGTATGAAATGAATGGAGGATCAAGCGAGGCAACGAGGAGTTGGGATTTGTTCCAGACAGTTTAGCTCATGACCCAACACTCCTGAGGATCAAAAACCAGAACAGATGTGCCACAGAATCAAGAGTCAGCACATTCCTAATTTTCATTAAAATTTGCATTGATACAATCTGAATGCATTTCATTTCGTTTTTAAGGAATATCTTCCAGTATGAAAACCTTAATTTACCATATATGCACTAATCTGCATTGCTAAACTAAGGAGCCAATAATTAAAATAGAAAAAGATAACACAGAATTCTACTTACTTCCCCAGTGGTTGGCCCTTTTTCTTTCTGTTGACAGCGCCTGATCACTTCTAATAATAAGGGTCCACCCACAGTACCTTCTGCTTCAATTATACCTAAATCTCGAGCTAAATTCTCTCGACCTTCGAGACCTTGCAGCTAGAAAAGATGCAAGTGCACAAAAAAATAGCATAAGTTATTTTAAGAGTAAAGAAAATATTTTCAGAGTTTAAATACATCTTTAAACTCAGAGACCGTCTTACTAATGAATGAAATGTCTATTTTAAAAAATTATGCCTATTTCTTTTACAGAGCCTCTACTTTCAAAGTTTTCATTAACAGGTGCAATCTAACATCGTATCAAAATTAACCCTACAGTAACACTTTTATTAGCAAGCTTTCAAGTAACACAAAGCAGCAACACTTGTGCCAGCTATCTGAAAGCTCATATGGCTTTTAAGAAAAACAGATAATCAACTACCAAAAATAATCTAAATGTAAAAAACTATCAGTTGTCAAATTCTATTAACTTTCAGCTTAATATTAACTCATTTGTATCAAAGAAGGTTTCAAAGGATAGATGTAAAAATCATTATTCTTACTGTGCTAGTTTCAGGTTGAAAAACAGCCAAAGTAAAGTCAAGGTTAAAAAACTGAAGAAATTCTGCAACAAGACTAGCCACTAAACGACCTATAAAGATCAAGAAAAAGGTAAGTAAGCAAACCTTTAAAAACCGAATTTTTTAAATTAACATTATGAAATAGATACACTAAATTAAGGAAGAAAGGTTTCTAAATTTTTTAAGTTACAAATTTCTTCTTTGAATAACATGATTAAGTAATGAAAATCTCAATCTCCTAATTTTTTCACTGGGATCATCAGTCTGTTAACTAACTGTAAGATAGTCATCTCATAGATTTCAGTGTTTCGCTTTTTAATAGTTAATATTGGCTTTTTGTAGTAAAACTGGCTTTAAGCAACATCCCAAGTATGAAAATATGTAATAGCAACACAATTGTTGTACAATGAAATATTATTTTAAAATGAAGACCTGTAAGAATTGCAGACTTAAAAAAACTCCCTGAAATTCCTGATTTCTCCCAAATGGTATCAAGATTCAAAAATTCAGAGATAGATAAACAAGAACAAGCTGAACATCTTACCGTCTTTGGTATTTAAAAACTTTTTCAGGCTCTCATTGACTAAAGGAGTTTTGTTCTGTTAAAAAAAAAAAAAAAAAAGGTTAAGTGTCCTGTGTTTACCCTAAAAACAACTACAAAATATAAAGTTTAACGTTTTCATCGATAAAATTATGGTATTACAAAATCCATTCTATAACTGTTAATTACTACAGGACTTACTTTGTGCTATTTAGTAATTTCTCAAAGTTAATATAACAAAACCATATATGATTTGTATTTACTTTTAATTTTAAATATTTTATAAACTTTTGAAAATATTTTCAAATACCTGTGTGAAATAAAATTAAATGTCAACAACTGTTTATTATTTCAAATATATGAAGTTTGATATTTTGTCATCTCAGGTATCTACCATTTATAGCATACTTATTATGAACAGGAATTTAATTATAACTTGTAATTCCCAGTTTATCCATGAAATGTGAGATGATCTTATGTGGCCCATAGGCCAACGTATTTTTGTAATTATACATTTGAATAAGTATGGAAAAAATACTTCTAGACCATCAAGGCTCTGAGTGTTGCTGAGAACAGGCTACAATAGGTGGCACATGGTAAGCTTCCTTAAGACCACATTAATTGCTGCTACAGTGGCAGCCTCATACACTGCTGATGGGAATACAAAATGGCATAATGAGTTTGGACAGCAATTTGGTTGTGTTTCTTAAAAGTCACAAATATTCCTAGCATGTGACCTAGTCACTTCACCCCTACTTATTTTCTCAAGAGAAATCACAGATCCAAGCAAAGACTTGTACATGACTGTTCACAGAAGCCTTACTTGTAATACTCAAAAACTGGAAACAGCCTAAATGTCTGTCAACAGGTAATCGCTAAACTGTCGTATCTATACACTGTATTAATGAAATGATTTATTAATACATACTACAATATGAATGAATTTCAAATGCATTATGTTGAAGAAACCAGACCAAAACAAAGAGCACATACTACATGATTCCATTTATACAATTCTTAAAAAGGTTTGGGGTGGAGGAGAGGGTTACAAAAGGGGCACAAGGAAAACTTTTGAAGGTTATGGATATGTGCAGTACCTTGATTGTGGTGATCATTTCACAGCTGCATAAATTAACTATTAAAAAAATCAAACTGTACATATTAAATACTTTAACTTTATTGTAGGTCAATTATACCTCAATAAAGTTGTTAAAATAAAAGACAAGGAGAGGAGAGCTCATAAAGGTAGTTGGTAGGCTGGTTTAGGGAATTCTAAGATATTAAGTCAACTGAAATATTTAAAGAGAATGGAGGGACAAGATCAAATGTGTACTATAAACAGCCAGTCTAGGAGCAATGTGGAAAAATGACTTCAAGGAGATGGTGAGGGACACCACAGAAAGGGAGGCTGGCACATAGGAAGGGGATAAAGCAATCTGGAAAAGAAAAAACAAGCACAAAGGAGGCAGCAGAGCACTCCCTTGGGGACACTTCAGATACACACCTGACACACACAGAGCCAGGTGATGACTGAGCAGGAAGTAAGAAGAGCAAGGCTTAAGAAACGCTTAGATTTCTTGCCAGATAAATGATGGTCCTATTAAGGGCATAATATAGTGGGCAGTTTAACATACAGGTCTGAAGCTCAGGAGAGAAATATGCATGAAAGTTACATGGCTGAAGTTACTGGATGAATAAGGTCAATCTGTGAGAGAGTACAGAATGACAACTGTGGATAAGTCTCAGTAAGGTGTACAGGAAAAAGATCATGCTAAACAAACCAAGGAGTGGTCAAAAAAAGAAAAACAGAACAGAAAAAGGTCTCAAAGGTCAAGGACGTTTTCAAGAAGGAGGAATCAAGAATGTCAATTACAGGCCTAGCGTGGTGGCTTACACCTATAATCCCAGCACTTTCGGAGTTTGAGGTGGGAGGAATGCTTGAACCAGGAGTTCGAGACCAGCCTGGGTAAAAGGAGAGACCCCATCTATACGAAAAAAATTTTTTAAAAAAACTAGCTGGGAGTGATGGTGCATGCTTGTAGTTCCAGTGACTTGGAAAGCTGAGGCAGGAGGCTGAGGTTTCAGTGAGCCATGATCGTGCCACTGCACTCCAGTCTGGGTGACAGGGTGAGACTTTGTCTCAAAAAAAGAAAAAAAAAAAAAAGAATGTCAAATGCCACAATCATCAACTAGGATAGGTAGGAACTAAAATATGCTCACAATTAGGAGACTCCTCTTGACTGCAACAAAAGAAACTACTTAGGGTGGTAGTGGTAGATTTAAGATTTTAAGGGATTGGCCGGGCGCGGTGGCTCACGCCTGTAATCCCAGCACTTTGGGAGGCTGAGGTGGGTGGATCACGAGGTCAGGAGTTCAAGACCAGCCTGGCCAAGATGGTGAAACCCCATCTCTACTAAAAATACCAAAAAAATTAGCCAGACACGATAGCAAGTGCCTGTAATCCCAGCTACTCGGGAGGCTGAGGCAGGAGAATCGCTTGAACCCCACCCAGGGGGCAGAAGTTCCAGTGAGCCAAGATTGCGCCACTGCACTCCAGCCTGGGAGACTGAGTGAGACTCTGTTTCAAAAAAAAAAAAAAAAAAAAAGATTTTAAGGGACTAAGGGCAGCCCAGGATATAATAAATGGAATAAGCATGAACATTCTTTTAAAATGCGGTTGTGCACGCCTGTAGTCCCAGCTACTCCAGAGGCTGAGGTGGAAAAATCAAGCCCAGGGAGCTGAGGCTGCAGTGAGCTATGACTGCACCACTGCACTCCCGCCTAGGCAAAGGAGTAAGACCTTGTCTCAAAAAAACCAAAGCAAAGCAAACCAAACCAGGTTGTGAAGGAAAAAAACCACAGTGGTATTAAAAGCAGAATGTAAGTAAAGGAAAACAGTTTACTCCTAATAGTTATTTAAACATGTTTTCATGCTCAAAAGAAAAGCCACCAGAAAAGGATGGGGTCAAAGACACAGTAAATAATTAAAGACTTGAAAGTATACAGAAGACAGAATGATTATTCTTAGACAGGACAGAGCCTCTTCTAAAGCAGTAAGGAAAGAGGTACAGATAAATATAGACACGGGTAAACATTTTCACAGGTGAGCAATAGATTGAGGGATAGGAGAGAAGGACATAAAGTTAGGATCTAATGGCTTCTACCTTCCCTGTGGAGGAAGCGACAAGACCAAGTATTCAGAGAGAAGGAAGCAGGGGTGACACAGAAGGCTACTGCACAGGTAGGGTGAAGAAGAGAGCTGCTGGGCCTGCTCAGGACCTAACCAGGTTGGTACCTGCCAATTTGCAACATCAGCAATCCACAAGGTTGACTGACTCTTCTCCAGGAGCACATATGTGTAAAATGGGAAGAGAGTTAGTTTGCTGGGTTAAATGATCATTGAGATGTCTTCCAGACCCCGTATGACTGTAAGGCAAGGTAATTAGGGGTCCAGACCCATAGGGTCCAGAACAAAACGCCACCAAGAGAAGACTGACGCCTGCACAGACATGGAAAGGGCAAATAACTGAAGATTTTGATGAAATTAGAGATTAGGTATACAGGTCTAACGAAGTGAGAGGGCAGGAGACTGATATGTCATAAAGCAAGAGTTTAAGACTTTGATGATGGTTCTATTCTTGTTGACAAATTCCAGAATATTTACTCAGGATGGTTGGTGGGACTCAGAAAAAGTTAAATTACCCACGTAAACATAGAGAAGTGGTTGCACTTTTAAAATAATCACTGTCTTTTTCATTGTCAAAATAATTGAGTGGTCAGATAATTTTGGGAAAAGTTGCATACTACATACCCCGTTTTCATAGGAATTAATAACATATCAGCTTATTAAAAGATCTGAGTGAACCTGCACTTAACACATTGACAATGGAACCATTTCTTCAAGAAACTCCTATGAACTTTCGTTTCAGATTTAGCATTGGTATCAGAGTTACTGCGGTACCTTAACTTTAAGATTACCCCCAAATTCAAAAACTATACGAAAAAAGAATAATTTTGGCTCTCTCTCAATAGTAATATAATCCTCAACAGTTCAAAATTATCCCTAGCTATACATTACTATAAACTATTTTTAAGACGGTTTTTAATGAACGAGAAATTAAGTATTAACGAACACAACCATGTTAAAATCTGGAAACTTCATACCTCTACTTTTTCTTGCTCCTCTAGGGCTAAAAACACAGCTGCTCGGAGTTCAGCCTTTAAAAAAAAGTTAAGGAACAAGAAATTACCATTTCAAGACAATTTTCACAACAAGCTCACATTTAGCCAGCAACAAACACAAGCAAGCCAACGAGCCGGGCGGGCAGGTGCAAAGGCCAGAAACGCCTTCCGAAACGTTCTCAGTCACACAAGCTCTGTGACCCCCAGGCTTGGGCTGGATGCGCTGCTTTCCCGCCGCGGATCATGCCCGAGTCTGAGGAAGAGACGCTGGGGCCGCGCTCCAGGGCC